TCCACACATCTGGACGCGAACCAGCGACCTTCTTGCTGTGAGGCCACAGTGCTAACAACTGAGCCACTGTGCCACCCTTAACAGTAAACACTTGAAACCTATTTAAAAACTGATTCTGCAATCTCATTGGCCACAGAATCAAAGCAGGCCAATCAGCTTGTTATGTGGTAATGATGTCAGTTGATTATAGATGAATAATCTGTCAGTAGAGTTTAAATGACTGGGAGAAAAAAAATAGGCTGTATAAATATATTAATAGTAATATAATAACATAAATAATATGAATATATTATATAAATGAAGCCAAATCTGGAGCTAATCTAACAAAATAACTTAAAATAACAATTCAAAAAGTTGAGTACACACACATTTGTTATAAAAAAAATATTTACCAGGGTTCTGCCGGTTTCACCAAGTTAAATGTAATACTTTTAAAGACATTTTTAAAACCTTTACGAATTTATGAATAAAATTTTAGTCTTGAATGTTAAGGATTTTTTCAAATATCCCAGTTGAAAAGATTTTCACTTGCCCTGTAAATAAATGACTAAAATGTAACACATTTAGTCATACAACAATAATAATTTAATTTTGTTTGAATATTTTTATTCATTTTCAAATATATCCATTCACAAACCCTATAACCCCTACCAAGAATAGAACAAGACATGGCTGTCATTTACTGCAGTCTACACTAATAATAACTTAATAATTAAAATCATAGGTCCGGTCGGTATTCTCATGGAGAACCTTTAAGCAAATCTTAAGAAAAGCAATTAAATCCTGTTTTTAATAAAGTTCAAAGCTTCATTGAGATAGATTGTTGGTGATTGTACGGGTGTTAATGGCCAGATTGAATAGCTATAAATGAACAAAGGAAAATTAAGACCTGTTAAAGAGATTTAAGACCCACAACACAACATTTCAGTAGATTTAAGACTTTTTAAGGCCTTAGAATGGGCTTTTGAGATTTTAGACATTTTAAGACCCCGCAATTAACCTTGATATATAAAGTTGAAGCCAGATTTATTTGCCCCCCTTTGGTTTTGTTTTTCTTTTTTTAAATATTTCCTCAATGATGTTTAACAGAACAAGGACATTTTCACAGTATGTCTGATAATAATTTTTTCTTCTGGAGAAAGTCTTATTTGTTTAATTTCAGCTAGAATAAAAGCAGTTTTTAATTGTTTAAAACCCATTTTAAGGTCAAAATTATTAGCCCACTTTAAGTTATATTTTTTTGATAATCTACAACCCATCATTATACAATAACTTGCCTAATTACCCTAACCTGCCTTGTTAACCCAATTAACCTAGTTAAGCCTTTAAATGTCACTTTAGGCTGTATAGAAGTGTCTTGAAAAATATCAAGTAAAATATTATTTACTGTCATCATGGCAAAGATAAAATAAATCAGTTATTAGAAATGAGTTATTAGAACTATTATGTTTAGAAAAATAGAAAAATTCTCTCTCTGTTAAACAGAAATTGGGTAAAAATAAACAGGGGGCTAATAATTCTGACTTCAACTGTATATAAAACAATTTTAAAAGAGGAAAAAAACAAGAGAAGCAAAAATATATAAAATTAAGCAGCTTGTAATTTATTTTCAATATTTAGCTGGAATTAATTGTAATATATTTCCATTTCTAAAGATTTTTGGTGACTAAAATCTTATTTTAATAAACATATCTGTTTTGTTCAAATGCAAAATATAAGACTTATATTCACAAAAATATTCATATTCAAATTGGGGTGTACTCATTTATGCTGAGCACTGTAAAAACATTATTGGAGAAGCCGATTTATTTGTTTTTGCAAACTTGTAACTTTTATGAACAAATTCTAAAAACAGGTCTCTTTGTATTTGATCAGCTACATTCATCAGTTTTGGCATCAGGGCAGTTTTGATGAATCAGTTGGATTTCCTACAGAAGCTGTAGAGGCAGCCATGGAGACTGCTGCATTTCACATACACAAACCCATTCCTTCATTCCAGCTAAACCCTTTTGTAAACACACTTGTTTATACATTCATATATCTATAGATACACACACACATTCCTCTCTCTCGTCATTCTTGTTAACTCTTAGTTTGTACAGAATGACTTTAAAAAGGAAAAAAACGAGTTCTCTTAATAGACAGTGGTTTTGTATAAGACTTTAGTGATAACAAACAGCAGATAAAACACCCAAAGACACTGCCTTTTTTGCAGCTTTGGAAGTGTTTGACAAGGCCAGTCAGATGGAGGAGACAAAAAAATAATGATGGTAAATTTAGATTAAATAGCTCTCCACATTTCTACATTTTAGTTGAACACTTACCCTTAAATAGAGCTGCACAATTAATCAGCAAAACCCCCAGTCATCTTGGATCAAACACCCAAACAACCTGTGACAAGCAGGATCACAGCATTCAGACCTGCTGCTGGTGCAAAGACAACAGCTTACATCAACAGCAATGAATCGCAATATATTTTACTAAATAGACACATTTAGATTTATTTATGCGTTTCTTAGTTTAAATGTTTATTTACGCATGTATATGTGTGTGTGTGCGTGTGTGCTGTAAACAAGCCCTAAGAACAAAATTAGTATAACCATGTGTTTAATTAGGGTTAAGGGTAAACTGTGCAGAGCTATGGACTCTCCAGGAACTCCAGGGACCCCCAGAAGGGATTAGGGCACCTTTTAGAATGGAATCCACCCTAATTGCAACCCAGTAAATATCAAACTAGTTAAATTTAATGACAGCCTTTCACCCAAATGCTCATTTTGTACTCAATCTGAAAAAACAAAGCATCAAATGATTAATTTCAGGAGTGTACTTGCTGTAAAGTGTTGGATTGACATTTCCAATTGTATTTAATGAAATTCTTATTTCCAAACTTGCCTTTCTTATTTTCTTATTTTCTAGAATTACTCTTTAAACCCAGACCCCTCTCATTGTAAAGTTAATATCTATTTATTGCTGTTTCTGGCTACATTTTACATCACAATTCAACATTTTTAAAGAAACCCCCTTGTCTTTTTTTTTTTAGAAAAAACTTTGATATGAAAAGTCTTTAAAAGACTCCAGTTAATTAAATTACACGCAAATCTCTTACTTGGTGTAAATCATTTAAATTTGTATAATTTTGCTGTGATTGAAGTAACCCTCTTTGTCCACATTGTGTCTCTGTAAATGTTTATTGTTACATAATAATATGCATGTGCAAGTCTGCAGCCAGACACTATTGCTTTTAAGCTGGCTAAATAACTGAAGGAGTCCAACATACACCAGGGCCCAGTTTTTCAAAATATTTAATCTGGATCAAATTGGTCCAGATTTGGAAATCCCATATTTTGCTATCTGGATTAACTGATCTATCTTACTTTTATGACAGTTTTCAAAGGAACATTGCTTTGGATCACTGTGACCCAAATACCACATTTCAGGATCACCAAATCCTGTTTACTAGAGCCCTAAATGGAACCAAAAGTGTAGTCTACTGGCTTAGCAAAGAACAACAGCTATAGGCAAAATACCAGTGGTCACACTGTTTGTTTTAATGCTAAGAAACAGAAACACTGCAATCAACAAACATTTCAAAAGTTCACACTTTGCTGACGATTGACTATAAAGCGAATTTGCCATGCTGTCCCGGGAGAGAGCCCTGAGCTCTCAGGTAGGTCTCGAATACTGCCTCTATATGTAGAGCCAATGACAGACTATTAACTGCTATTCATTTATTAATTTTCTTGTCAGCTTAGTCCCTTTAATAATCTGGAGTCGCCAAAGCGGAATGAACCGCCAACTTATCCGGCAAGTTTTTACGCAGCGGATGCCCTTCCAGCCGCAACCTATCTCTGGGTAACATTCACACACACTCATACACTACGGACAATTTAGCCTACCCAATTCACCTGTACCGCATGTCTTTGGACTGTGGGGGAAACCGGAGCACCTGGAGGAAACCCACGCGAGGGCAGGGAGAACATGCAAACTCCACACAGAAACACCAACTGAGCCGAGGTTCGAACCAGCGACCTTCTTGCTGTGAGGCGACAGCACTACCTACTGCGCCACTGCCTCACCTATAAACTGCTATATAGAGATAAAGTGCTGGTAAAGAGCTCGACTAAAGTGCTAATTTAGATTGATCAATTCACATGACACATGTCTTTGGACTGTGGGAGAAAACCTGAGAACCCGGGGGAAACCTACGAATGCATGGTGAGGACAAACTCCTCATAGAAACAACAACTGGCTTGTTATGTTAAGGACTTGAACCAGTGACGTTCTTGCTGTGAGGAAACAGTGGCTAAACAATGGGCCACCATACTGCCCTATAAAGGGAAATAGTGGCGGAGTAGGGGTGGAAAGGGGGATTTAAGGTGAAGATAACTGAATCATCTGATTGGTGAATCATGCATTAGTTAATGCAGGACCAGCAGTGATCAATCATAAGCGCCTGCTCCTCTCGAAATGACTTTATAAATAAACTTCACTCAACATTTTGTAGTTTGTACTATTACAGTACTGCTTTGATATTGTTTTGCGGATGTTGTTACCATATCCCATTATATGTGAAAGGCTTCATATATGAAGACATTTATATCATCAGTGACCATTGAGTTTGTGATTATTCACTTAAAAATATAACTTTTTTATTATTTGGTTTATTTTGTTTAACTGAATCCACCCTTCTGATAGGATCAGGATAAATCTGTTGTTTTTATCAAATAGATCCCAATCCGAGTTCAAAGTTTTGAATAAACCAAAGGGCAGGTTTGATCCAAATCATATGCAAGGTTGAATTACATGGTCTGATATTAATTTAAAATCCCTGTTACTTTTGAAAAATCCATTCCCAAAATTTGATTCAATCCGTGATCCAAATTCTAACTAGATTACTTTCGTAAAAACTGGGCCCGGAAGATTGGTTTTATGGCATGCACCATGAACATGTCAATCATCTTTTTGGCATATATAAAATTGACTCAAACGCCACACCGTCAAACAATTAAAAACATCTTTATAAATGCAAATAGAAAAAAAAAAGACAAAAACACAACATCTACACAGCACAACGGATAGAACCCTGTGAACAGTCAAGTCCAAAAACGCCGGCTCACACCACCCAATAAACACCAATGTGTTTTTTTTGGTTCAGTTTTCACCCTGTCGCTATTTAATCGGGCGATGCAAAACCAGCCTCACATCATTCTATACACATTCTGCTAAAATATACCATTTTGAAGAATAAATCTGCCAGAAATTCACAGACTCAAACAAACAATCACTAAATAACAACTCATGCAAAAAAACATCACAGGATTCCTTCACAGTGCTTGTATCATTTTACATCCTGGAAAAAAGCTTCTACGACAGTATCACAGGAGTGACTGTTTTCACATGAAGTGAGGTTTCCATCAACACGCCTCTTGGTTTTCCTACTGTCACGATCATAGTGTGTCCAGGGGTGCGATTACACTTTAAAACAAGAATTAAAAAGCGAGATGTGTAGAAAATGGCATGACAGATGAAACCGTAATAAAAAGGCACTTCATTCATCAATGCTCAGTGAAGATTTATACTTTAAAGTGATTACAAATAATTCTCTCCAGTTTAATTACAGCTGATATTGACCTCAAACGTGAACTTCAACCAGTCTGGATCCCTGAGGGAAAGGAGCAAACGCACCATACAAAACCATCATGTTAAAAACATCACCACTAGATGGTGACTGTGCTTCTGCTTCTTCCAAAAACATAAAAAAAAAAAAAAAAGAAACAATGTTGCATATTTGTGGTAATGCTGCACACTGTGATACTGTCCAGGTTGTGTAAGTAAACATAGGCCACTCCTATGGTGTATAAACATTTCCAAACAACCGAACAGGTAAAAGACGATATGATATGAACACTAACCAGAGATTCAGAAAGGTTAGCTCATATTTTAACACGGCACAACACAAAACAGACTCACCTGGTCATTTCGTCAGTGATTCAAATACACAACAGCTGAATATACAGGTGTGGAGTTATCAGTTATTAAAAACTACTGTACCGTTTAAAACGTGCACAATTAAGCTCGCACTTAAATTCCAGCTGTGCAGTGCATTAAAACTGGGGGAGAGTTCTTGTCAAAACATTCAGAAACACTTGAATCTATAAGAACAACTGGTAAACGCTTCAGTTTCTAAACATGAGACTAACTGTTTAAAATGGCACTCACATATTATTTTTACATTCAATGCTACTTAAAATTCATTGAGGTGTCTGCTTGAACATCATACCACTGTTGAACCACAGTCTAGTTGGTAAATGTTTGATGATTAAAAAGAGAGAGAGAGAGAGAGAGAGAAGGAAAAGCACAATTAATGTGCTCATTAAATGTCATCTCTAACATAGAGTGCATGGCTGGATACGCATCGGAATGCCATACATATGCCAAAATCCATCAGAAAAGCAAGAAAAAAACATCTATGTGAGGTCATCGAAAATATAGTCAGTGTTCTTAAATTAAAATGAAGATCTTTCATAAATAAAATATTGCATAAATAAAGCGATTCCTTAAGAAAAGGCTTTGATAAATGATGTTTTAAAATGTTTAAAAAAGAAGAAATGAAACAAATCTGTGCTTAAAGTAAGCTTCTTTCTAGATGATTTATAAAATCAGTTCCATGAAGAAAGTAAACGACTGAAGATGAGACCACTAGAAATATTTGTGATCTGTTTGATCAATAAATAATAATAATAATAAAAAAACATCCAGAATAAGATGAAAATCAACTCTCTGGTCCTCACGGGAAGCTCTTAAAGGGATAGTTCACCCAAAAATGAATATTCTGACATCATTCATTCACCCCACCACTTTCATCTGCTGGTCACTAAAGATGTTTTATATGATGTTGGAAACCAGTAGACATTTAAATCCTAGTGTCAGTTTTCTGTTTACTTTTTTTCTGCGCTGAACACACAGTATGGGTAATTAAATCCTTTTAAGTATCATGAGGGTGAGTAAACAAAGACAGAATCTTTATTTTTGCGGTGTACTATCTCTTTAAGTGCCTTTTTTTTCAGCCCTGCTGCACCAGCCTGCGATAGTGAGGCATGACCTTGCTGTCTGGGAGGTAAAGTGCCATCTCCAAGGCAACCAGAACCGTGAACTCCAGGGAAATCAACTCTTTACGGTTTATTCGGAAACGCTCCTCCAGCCTCTGTTCAGGGTCAGGATGATCCAAAAAAAAGAGAGAGTGAAAAAGAGAATGTAAGTATGTCAACCATATTAAAGGAGTGATTCTGACAACTATGAAAATTATCATCATTTACTCAACCACTGCTGTTTAATATTGTGTCCCTTTCTTTTTCAAACCATATATATCCATATAATGGCAGTGAATAGCAACCGACAGGCTTAAAATAACAATTTATAGATGAACACAACCAGTATACACAAAAAAATAAAAATAAAAAAGTATTTTGTCGAATGAAAAAGAAAAAAAGGTCACACAACATTTAACCGCAGGGTCAGGGCCGCCCCGATGGATATTTACTATTTTTTAATATATATTAGACATGCTCCAATCAGGATTTTTGCAGCTGATAAATACTACCAATTACTAGTTATGGTGATCAGCTGATACCAATTCTGATTCTTCAAGCTTTATATAACTTTGCCATTGCATAAGCACAATTACCCTTTAAGTATGAGATCTTGCCTTACCTAAGATGATAAAATTAAGGATGTTGCAAACAGTACATGTAATGATCAAAAGCAGCTTTACAAAAATAAAAATAAAATTCAAAGGCGCTTCAAATAAAATTATAATTTTTATATAATTATTATAATTATTATTATAAAACAACTTTAAAAATGGTAAGAAAAATGATTAACAACGCAATTTGGAAACATTGCTCATGTATTGTGGCGCTTCTGATAACCCAGGCATCTTCCTCTGCTTGTAAACTTGTAAACAAACACTTGTGATCGGTTCATGAGAACAGCCAGATTCACGAACACAGATCGAGCCGTGAAATGTGATTATTGGCCAATACCGATCTCCGGCCGATCGATCGGAGTATCTCTAATATATAAATATATTCCCTTCATCTCAAAGGCATGAAACTCTCCAACTTTTCCTAAAAAACAAAATCTGGGGTCAAACTGACCCCAAACATTGAAAATGAATGGAAAAAGTAAAAATAAATATATATACATTTATAAAAGTTTTTTTATTAAATATATAAACCAATATCCAAAAACCTTTTATATTAAATTTGGGTCAGAATTTTTGTGATTTTTAATTAAAAATGTGATTTTTCACAAGCCAAATTATGGTGTAGTTGCATATTTGTGTAGTAAATAGATAAACAAGTACAAAATATCTACACAAACACTGCATATATGCAAAGTTGAGAAGTGACTGTAAAAAAATGATATATTTATCATTCATTCATTCATTTACTTTTCAGCTTAGTCTCTTTGTTAATCAGAGGTGAATAGCTAACTTACCTAGCATATGTTTTACGCAGCAGATGCTCTTTAAGCCGCAACTCAACGTTGGAAAACACCCATACACTGTTGTAATCACACACATACAGTACGGTCAATTTAGTTTATTTAATTCACCTATAGCGCGTGTCTTTGGACTCTGGGGGAAACCGGAGCACCCGGAGGAAACAAACTCCACACAGAAATGCCAACTGATCCAGCCGGGGCCTGAACCAGCGACCTTCTTGCTGTGAGGCGATCATGCTACCCACTGTGGCACCGTAACGCTATATTTATCATCTAAAATATTAATATTTCCCTATGCAATTGGTCTTTAAATGTTTGAACCTAACTGTGATTTTTTTTTCCTGGGCAGCTCTAGGGTTAAACACCAGTTGAGTATTCACTTCATTTTTGGCTGTCCTACTGCTTCATATTTTATTATCGTCATTTCACTTACATCAATCAGCTGCTTGACCTCCTGTTTCTTAAGGTCGCTGCTGATCTTGGCAGCCAGTAATACGCAGGCGGCAGACACCAGCTTCCGGTTGTGCTTGTTTAGCCTCCCTTGCAGAACCAGTTTCTCAAAGTAAACGTAAGCCATTGCGATGGTCACCGGCTGCAGGCCACACTCCTCACTCACTGAACGCATCTCCCTTTTCAGACTGTGGAGAGAAACAAATGGAACTGTATGAAATATAAATAAAGCTAAAGGGTTTATCCCTTTCAAAAGTGTAAAAACTGAGCCTCTGTCAACCAATAGAGAGAGTTGCGGGCGTGGCTACTGTAGCAGGCAGGTGGAGCTAGAGAATGTTTACGAGATGTGAAAAGTTACAAGGTATATCAAAAAGAATAACAATTTTGCAGAGACTGAAACAGGGAAACCAGGAATAAACATCAGGTGTTGAGACACAAACTGGTAAAAGTATAAAGGGTGTTTGCAAAGGTTATTTGAAAAAATGCTTTATTTTTGTAATTCAGCTGTATGACATTATAATCACAAAAAAAAAAAACTTTTATTGGGATCAATTTACTTTACAGTATACCACAAAAAAACCTGCTAAAAAATAAATGACATATCAAGCTACTTCATAGACAATTTAGATTTTACATACATTTCTGTTTCAATATTTTATTGTGCCCTTTCCAGATAATACACAAACATAAATAGAAGTCCTATCAGCAAAGAAGAGATTACATCAAATATATAGCAACAACAAAAACAAGAAAACTGCAGAATTCTCAAATCAAACAAACTCTACGCCCTTCTAAGCACCATCCCATCTTTTTGGGAAGGCCAGTGAGGAGGCCATTACAGTAATCCACCCTGCTGCATAAACAAGTTTCTCCAAGTCTTCACTGGAACCAAAGCATCTAATTCTTGCAATGTTTTGAGATGATAGTATGCTGATTTACTAACTTCTTTGACATGACTATTGAAACTCAGATCTGACTCTAGAGTCACACCAAGATTCTTGACCTTATTTTTTTTTTTTTGATCTTTAGTTCAAAGGTACGCATTCAACTTGAGAACCTCATCTCTGTTCCCAAACGCAACCATTTCAGTTTTATCTTTGTTTAACTGAAGAAAGTTTTGGCACATCCAATTGTTAATTTCATCAATGCATTGGCATAGGGTGTCAATGGGGTTGTAGTAATTAGGCAGTAAGACTAGGTAGATCTGAGTGTCATCAGCATAGCTGTGGTAGGAGATTTTTTTTTTCTCATTATTTGGCTCAGAAGGAGCATATAAAGGTTGAACAGAAGTGCCAGAATTGAGCCTTGTGGGACTCCACATGTCATGGGTGTCCACCTCGACCTATGGTCACCTATACTGACATGGTAACCTCGCCCTTCAAGGTAAGATCTGAACCATTTGAGGACCGTGCCAGACAGCCCAACCTAGTTTTCCAGCCTATCCAGAAGTATGCTGTGATTGACAGTGTCAAATGCAGCAGTGAGATCGAGCAGTGCCAGCACTGTTAGTTTAGCTGAATCTGTATTTAGGCGTATATCATTGATTATCTTTATAAGAGCGCTCTCTGTACGGTGATGTGCTCTAAAACCAGATAGAACATTGTCTAAACACCCCTTCGAGCTTAAGAACTTGTTAAACTGGTTAAAAACTTTTTCAATGATTTTGCCAATATAAGGGAGATTTGAGATTGGCTTGTAATTGCTCAATAGTGTGTAGTTGGGGTTGGAAGATAACCAAAAAGTGCAAAAAGAGGGTCAGGATTATATTGAGAGCTTTAAAAAAAAATGTTAAAAAGATAAGAACAATAGTTTGTTAATTTTGAACAGGACTAAAACAAGTTAAGATAATATGACGGTGACGGCTTACATGTTTTACAGGCATCACTTCCGTCTGGAAATAATATGTTAGAAAGTTTGGCATTAGTGAAAGAATTCCTATGTAGCACTTTACATTGTATGGCATGTCTGGCACAAATAGATTAGAGTGAACTAAACTGAGAATGTCTTTCCATTGGTCATCAGAAATCTCAATACCCAGATCTTGCCCCCAAAGTTGTTTGAGTAAAGATTTTACATAAATTAATGTTATAATCAGTGGTGTGCCGTTATCGGCGTTGTGTGTGTGTGTGGTCCATTACTGACAGCCGTGTGTGTGGATCTTGACGGAAAATATGGCGAAAAGTCCTACATGATGGTAATAGTTACATTACTTAATAAAAAAGTATTTACTTCAATAATGCCACTAATATATGCATACTCCACATGTCTTAATTCCATTTCTGTTTAGTTCAGTTAAGACTTTAGTCAGATTAAGGTAACCAAAAATCACTGTTTGGTGCTTATGTAGGCCTACAGTGCAAAATTCATGTTTAACTGAATGAACAGTTAGTAAACACAAGTACATCTTATTGACCACCATTTATTTTCATCACCAATTATATTAGTACAGCAGTTTGTGATGCATTTTTGTATCAGGAGAAGAGCCCCTGGTCTAACGCACTGCCTGGCTTGAAAAACCTGTTCTCAAAGACTTACTTTTAGTCATTATTTGTGTAGCACACATATTCTGAATGCCTTCAGGAGAATTCAAATGAGCCATTTTAATCTAGATTAATTTCAAAATCACAGCAAGATTAATCTAGATTAAAAAAAATAATCTGTGCCCACCTATAGTTATAATAAACTCATTAAAATCAAAGTCTTCAATCAACATATTCGGTTCTATAAAGAGCCTGTAAAATCCTTGGAACTTTGCCATTGGACAATATAAGGTCGTTAATATAATGAAAAATGTGTTGATTGGTTTTTAAGTTTGGTGATTTTTGCTTAAAAAAACTATGAAATAGCCATTTCAATTCTTTACATTGCTTTTTTAATAAACAATATCACTTTTTGCTGAATTTCAAGCAGATATATATTTGTTATGCTGCATCTGATAATTGAAAAACTAATTTCTATAAAAATTGCTATTTATTTGATTAAAAATAAATAATGAATGCTGACTTTATATCACCTTTATTTATTAATAAATTACATTGTGGTTTAATTTAGTCAAAACGTAATTCATTAAAACTCATTGGAATTTTATTTTATTTATTAATTTTAACAAAAGAATAGGGATGTTTATGTTAAGATTAGCTGAATGTGATTTTAAACATGAACTGAAAACAAATTGTTTATATAAAAAATGACTTTACCTTCTGATTTTGCTGAATGTCAACTTTATGTGTGGAAACTTCTCCTTGAACGTCTCGTTCATGTCTTTCTTCAAGTCAGATGGTTTCACGTACTCAATAACCGTTGTCTAGAGAGGACAAGGAGACTCTTATTATAGGTGGCATAAAACAATGTAAGGGTTTATGGCTACTAAAACACAACTGTGGCGGTAAGGTTTTTGACCTTCACAGCTCAAGCCTAGTCAGCTGTGATACAGAGGATATCATGCTTCATGCCTTTAGCTGTTCGACCATACTGTGGCCTTAGGGTTATCATATGACATGCTGATGTGATCTGATATAGCTCATAAGCTGGGTTCAGGGATAAAGAATCACTATCACACTCCTTCTCTTTGGCGTTATATTACAAGAGGTTGTTTAATCGAGGGACTTACCACATACGATGCAAAAATTAAGACTCGTTTGTGCTTCCCACAAGGCCATTGAGGGTCACTCAGTAAGTTGGGATCATACTCTGACAGCTCGTCCACACCTAGAAAGAGTGTTAACAAGGATTAAAGTGAAGTGCTTTGAAATATGCTTTTTTATTTGACATTTGATGTAATCTCAATCAAAACACGCAGAGAGGGTGGGGGATAGTGTTGCTCCTCTCCTTTAAAAAAAAAACGGTCAACAGCATTTTGTTTTATTACTGCTCTGCCAGTGAGAGTGGTTGAGCTCAAGCAAATCAAATGAAAAGCAAATGAGAAGCGTCTTGAAGGGGGCGGGGCTTGTCATATATTAGAGAGCATTTGATTGGATTTGATGAGACACTGCAGTATCAGATGACGTGAATAAAACTGTTGATCCATTTAGGCAGAAGTGACAAACTACAAGCTTTACATGTTTATATCAGTTTTATGTCTTCTAAACATATATTTTGTCATTGTATTGGAGCACACCGGCTTATAGATATCCTAAAAAACTAATAATATTGATACTAACATCAAAAATCTTTGTTTTAATTTAATGGGATCTTAAAGTGTACGCACTATTTTGTTTTTTTGTTTGCTTTTTTATTGTACAAAGTAATTAGTTGCAACTCATACATTGCAATTTATGTCAAGCAAGTTAAGCATGAATTGGTGCTAAATGATAGAAAACATTTAGTTTATGCAGTTTATAATAACTGCTGTTAATGGTGAATGCAAATATAATTAAAGTTTCATTTTATATTTAAATACTATACTTTAATGTTCTGAAAACATTTATACATTTAAATTTACAAAACATTTATAATACTTGTAAACATTCTATTTTATTTATGGTCACTATTGTACATGATTAAACAACATTAAAAATTCAGATTTATACAAAGATACAACTTAAAGAAGTGACTTATTTTCCGGGGAACATGGAAAATACTTTGTACAAATTGGTCAAATTTCACACATTTTGAACGTTTTATTCATTAACGAAGGAAAATATTTCAGGATTTGCAGAAAAATATTAAGCTTTCTAAGCTGATAATAATAAATGTTTCGTGAGCATCATAGCAGCATATACATTTTTTTTAAATATTCAGTTTAATGTTTGAATTCATATTTTGATTATAATATAATATAATATAATATAATATAATATAACATAATATAATATAATATAGAATAATATAATATAGAATAATATAATATAATATAATATCATTTTCAAATATAGATTATACTTATGAGGGTAAATATAATTATATATAACCTTATAAGTATAATCTATATTTAAAAAAATAAAGAACATTCGTCAAAATCTTTTTTCAATTAATATAGTATTTCACAACATGGTACTTTTCTAATTACACTTTTCATTACAATTAAAGTTTTTATTCTTTCAAATAAAGCAGCATTAAAGGTATAACATATTGTTCATTACATTTTATTTTTAATTCAATTTCAATATTTCATAACACTTTCACTGTATTTTTGATCCAATAAATGCAGTCTTATGACCATATAAAAAAATGTTGAATACAAGTAGTTGTAGTGTATGTGTGTGGTGTTTTTTCTCTCTCTCTTTCTCTCGCTCTCTCAGTCTGAGTTATTCACAAGTGCAGCAGATAACGGCAAATCGTGATTGGTGCTTGGATTGGCGACGGCTGTATTTAAAACCCCAGAACACATGGATTCAGCAGGTCCCCGCACTCTCTCTAGATTCCCCACTCGTTCATCTCTGTGGAAATGTTGTTGCTTGAGTGATGAAAACGAGTTATTGTTGCTGATGTCTCTTATTTGCCGTTTTGTGAGATGCCGATGTGAAGTTGTACATTCTAATAGGAGAAACCCAGTTTTCTGTCTCCCTGTCTGGCTTGGAGCATGGTAGGGAGGTTTGGTGCCTTCTGTTGATTATTTTCGATTTCCCCTGTATTGTTAGCATAGAGAGGTAAGTTTTCTGTATTTTATTTTATTACTCATTTTTCAGGGAAGTTTGCTCTAACTTTAGTTAGTTTGGTTTATTATAATTTATTTTGTCTTAACCCCTCCCAGTCTTATTTTGCTCCTTATTTTCTGTAAATAAATCATATTTCCTTGTTAATTCTCAGTGGTTTGTGTTTTGGTTTATATTTTGTGGAGAGAGAGCACGGGGAACCAGGGATTTCTAATCCCTGTTGTCTTGTTACGTTTTGGTTAAAAATATTTTTGATTGAGGATTTTTTATTTAATTCATAACAGTAACAGTGCAAAGTGAAAGAAAAAAACGATTGTACATGCCGCACAGTACAAATCTAAGGAATAAACATACAAATATTTGAATGAACACATATTTCTATCTGACCATGTAACAGACCTGTATCTTGCCCAATTGTGCTGCTGATTCGGGAAGGAGTGAAGTTCTTTTGCCCGTTGATACGGTTTCGTGACATTGGCATTTGAGCTGTGCTGATGTCAGTTTGGCCACTGCTCTTCAGCCTCACCAAGGCATTAGTTGGCAGCAGGAAACGGGCATATGATACTGTCTGCAATGCACAAAAATCCAGGCCGATCAGCATAAACACAAACACTGCGCAAAAAGTCTACACACAGCCAGTAGCTCAGAACTGCACAGTCCTTACACAATCATGCTTTAAAACAAATAGCAATATCAACTAAGAATCTAGGCGACGCAGTGGCGCAGGAGGTAGTGCTGTCGCGTCACAGCAAGAAAGTCGCTGGTTCAAGCCTCGGCTGGGTCTGTTGGCGTTTCTGTGTGGAGTTTGCATGTTCTCCCTGCATTCCTGTGGGTTTCCTCTGGGTGTTTCGGTTTCCCCCACTGTCCAAAAACATGTGGTACAGGTGAATTGGGTAAGCTAAATTGTCCGTAGTGTAGTTTGTGAATGAGTGTGTGTGGATGTTTTCCAGAGATGAGTTGCGGCTGCAAGGAAAATGTGCTGGATAAGTTGGCGGTTATTGGTGACCCCGGAATAATAAAGGGACTAAGCCGAAAAGAAAATGAATGAATGAACTAAGAATCTATCTAAAAGCAGTTTTCCCTCAATGTTCTTAGAAAAATATCCTACTATCTAACCTTTCCAAAGTCCACCTCCACACCCTCCAGTCCAGGAACCATATCAGATCCTCCACCAGAAGAGTGTCTTTGTCTCTGCGCTTCTAGCTTAGAGTCACTGCAAAACAGATGGAATATTATTAGTCAGAATTTGATGGCATTTGAGTGCACTGAAATGACGTCTTTGATTCAGAAATTCAGAGATAAAGGCTGCTTGGTCTGAATGTGAATTGCCTGATGCAAAAGTCATCAGTGAAGCTGGAAAAATCACCAGATTTAGGGTGCAGTCGACTGTTTGTAAATAACATCATTATATTAAAGCTTAAATTATATACTGCATTTGTGTTTTAGGTAGTGATGAAATGCATTAACTAAATAATAAAAACAAGGTAACACTTTACAATAAAGTTCATTAGTTAATGCATTTACTAACATGAACTAATCATGAACAAGACTTGTACAGCATTTATTAGTCATATTTGAACATTTATTAATGCATTATTAACATTCATGTCCATGCTTGTTAACATTAGTTAATGCACCATGAGTTAACATGAACTAACAATGAACAACTGTATTTTCATTAACTAACGTTTATTAACATGAATAAATACTGTAGTAAATGTATTGTTCATGGTTTGTTCATGTTAGTAAATGCATTACTTAACATTAACTATTGAACCTTATTGTAAAGTGTGACCAAAAACAAAAACACATTTCTGTGAATGATGTGATTGGGAAGTGTATGACAGGTGGACAAATCACTAATTTCTGCAATGCCAAAAACCAAATATAAGATCTCGGAGTCCTACACAAAGCTGGATGATGCATTATGCATTTATTTTATGTACATGACATCAATACCATTTTTATTCATTTATATTTGTTTATTTGACAGGCATATTTAGAAAAGAATAATCTGACGACACATTAAAAGACTTCACATATTAAAAGGATCACTGTGCCATCATTTGTCACAGTCATTTATTTAATTGTAAAAGGAATTTTGTTTGTTTTTGGTTGGCCATTTAAAACATGATCTTCAAATATGAAAGAGTGCTTTGCTTCTCTAAGACACAGGCTTCAGGATTCCAAGAAAAGATTTAATAAATAATCAATAAAATTATACACACTGAAAACTGCAGCATATAAACCTTCTGTTTATGCAGGTTTTTGGACTGGGAGAAAATTGAGTTACATTCTACATGGAAATTCTTGATGTTAAAGATAAATGACAAATTTTTTCACAAGATATGATACATCTAAAGTGTGTGTTAAGCTAAACATAATCAGATATGACTAACATGACCACTTAAAAGCTTTTTTCCCTGTTTTAAGTTCAGTATTATTTAAAGTACTTAAAATAGAAATATGTTGTAACATTCTCATCTTTACGGTCAACTTTTGGTCATTTTGACGCACCTTTGCTAGGGCTGCACAATATAACGTTTCAGCATTGATATCGCAATGTGATCAATCGCAATAGTCACACTGTGAGAATACGCAATGTTGAGTGGATTACAATTTATCATTTAGTAAGTGTTTTTTGAGGCCTGTGACTGTGTGGGGGTTTTAAAAGCAATCAGGCATAAGAAACTGTACCGTTTGTACCTATGAAAGATTAATAACATTTATTTTTACTGAATTGTTTATAAAACAAAGACTATGCAGTCTTATTTTACGTTTGAAAACTGCAGCATTTAAATGTTCTGTTTACGCAATTTTTTGGACTGGGTGGATGTTTCGAGTTACATTCTATATCGAAATTCTCTAAGTTATAGATAAAGGACAATTTTTCACACATGATATGATACTGTACCTCTAAGTGTGTGTTAAGCTAAACGTAATCAAATATGACAAACACGACTATTTAAATTTGTTTTTATTTTTCTGTTTCAAGTTTAGTATTTATTTGAAATAGAAATATTTGAGTCAATGTTGAGTCTGGACTATAATTGATCACTTAGCAAGTGTTTTTGAGGCATTTGACTGTTAGGGTTTTAAAAGCATTCAGCTATAAGAAACTGTACTGTTTGAAAAATTGTTTGAAAAGAAGACTATGCAGTATTTTTTTATATTAACATTTGATAATTTACTTAAATGTACACCTAAATACAGTTCGACTCCTCAGAAACAATAAAACACTGTTTATTTAAGTTGCATATTTTTCTTTATTGAATTTATCTATGCTTGTAGATTGTTTCCTATATTTTATGCACTTCACTACAGAATCAACCCAATTAATCTAAAATGATAAATTCTTTCAAAAAAGTTATCCACTTATCTAATGGGATTGTATTCATAATGTAAAATAGAAATTGCAGAATAAAAAAATATGGCAATGTTAGATTTTTTCAGTACCGTGCAGCCCTAATCCTTGCTGAACAAAAAGATTTTCAAAAATTCCAAAACCTTATAAAAATTAAAGGAAGGGCTAGGCGATATTGATCAAAGAAAATTGTCAATATCAATTAAAAAAAGAGATTCTGATTCTGTTTTTCAGTATGAAGCGCCATAGTTTTATTAAAATGTGGCTGCTGAGCATGCGCCTTGGAAGGATTGCCAATAAGCTTAGGGTGTAAGTTTGTCATTTCCAATGAAGGTATGCAACTTGCACAACGCGCATATGGGAGCAACGCACACATGTTGTGCATTTCTCAGTCGCACCCAGTTGAAAACATTTAAACTTCCAAATGCTGCAAGTGCACCATAATTCATGCAAGTAGAACTAAAGAACTGAAGTAGCATAAAGTCCATTATAAATGGTCAAGGAATCTACCCGCATATGCTTGTCACTTCAGGTCAGAGTGGCTTTTTGGTTTCTTTTCTTGTGCATCCCAGCTACTAGCTCCCCATTTGAAAGATTTTTTTTAGCATAGGGGCTAATAAAGTCATTCAACTTCACAATCTGTAATGTTGCAGTGTGTATTTGAACAATGATGGTTGTTTCCTTTTCTTGAAAGCTCATATTTAATTTCATAATTTGTTTTGTTGACAGAGTTTGAGGTTTACTGTGTCATTATTATGCACACATTAAAGTTTGCTTTGATTGTTCAGTATTTACGTTTTACCAGTGCACACACTTTGTAACATTTTATTTATCAAGTTTAAGAGTCTCTTTAACAGTTGTTTATTTTATTATAAAGAGATATTTTTATTGAAAAAAAATTGTAAAGATGCTGTGACCCCTCACATGTAAAATCAATAAAAACTTAAATCACAAAAAAAGAGATCAGATATTATTTGGAATATTTTAGTTTTTTACTATTAAAACTATTTGCCTTAGTATGTTGGTAAATTTAAATAAAGTCGTTAAAAAATCCTAATATTTCTATATGTATTGTTAAAAAAAAAATCATCGATATCGAATGATATGAAACATGACATTGTGATGATTTATTTTGCAATATCGCCCAGCCCTAATTAAAGGTGTACTGACCTCACACTTTCGAATGATAGTGTACATGAAAACATCCTCCTTTGAAATCATACACACACTCTCATCAACCAGCTTTGTGAAACCCCATTTTCTTTGATTCTAAATGAATCATTTCATGTTTGAAACACTATTTCACAGTCCAGGTTTCAGAATAACAGAAAATGAACAGCTGATTTTGCCCATTCCTCATGTGTGTATGGCTTTGCATGAAATGAAATGAGTTGTTTGGCTGACTGTGGTGTCTCTGTACCTGATGTGATAACTCTCTCCATAGGGCAATACAGAGAAAGCAGCACACAGGGATCTCTTGGCACAGATCAGCACAACCCTGCAGGACACAGATGGCAAGTGCACATAGAATAGACAACATCAGTCTAAACATCAAACCATCACAATACACCAGCCGTGTTTACGCCACAACAACATGCAGCCCAAAGCATGGAACTGGAATGAAACAGGTGACAAAATGAGCCAAGAAAAAATAAATAAATAAATCACAGATCCACAAACTGTCAATTAAAATAAGCATGTTGCTTTCCGTGCCATAACAGATTACTAAGCTTCACCAAATCTGATTACACAACAAACCCGGTCGTATTTCCCAGGGGCCTGAAGGGCTTCACAATGAACAGGTCAGCAGCTTGTGACGATGGTTCACGATGGGGTCAAAGTGCTCATATATTACATTAATGCTGATGTGATGAGGCTGGGGGTGAATGTACACATGAGTGAAGATGGGATTTCATGCTTGATGATCAAATGTGACACTGAGCCTGAGGGTAAAACTGTGTTTTTGTGTAATGTACAAGATGTTGCCAGGACAAACTACAAACATTTTCTGCTTTCTTGTTATAAGGTAAAGTAGATCTTTGAGACTGTGGAAATATAAATTGTGATGCAAATGCTATGGACAGGGTCTCAACGACTGTGCCTTTGTCTTTGTGGATCCATTCAGGCAAAGAAACACTTCTGTTAATAAGCTTGTGTGGTCAGTGGCTGGGCAGGTTGTTTTACCTATCTACTTAATTTGCAAGCTTTGTTAGCCGTCTCCACCTTTAGCCACTGCCCCCTCATAAAAACATTATAATAGACATAAACGCGGTCCATGTTAGACTCATTTAGACTATTTTCAGACTTGTGTTTGATGTGCAGACTCATTTATTTCTTGAAGATGCTGTTTGACTGCAGAACAACCAATAATTCTGCTTGTAACGAGTCTCCTAGACTAGGTTTTAAATTTTCCATCAAGACAAACATCTTTAGAACGCATTTATTTAAAGCCACTTACAAAAGAGCAAAAAAGTAATTAATTAAAAAAGCCAAATTATTTGTAATGCCAGGATTAATAGACAAACAGATTGGGAGAAGAACTGCAGATTATTAATTTTGTATTGTTTAAGTGCACTGATGTTGGGTAGTTCAGTGCTTCCTTAGAGGTCAAACTGCTTCCTGAAAGATGTAATGTTATCATCTATAGAAAAGGAGATCGGTTGCTCAATCCACCAGAGAGGAACAGAGAAGGTAAATGTTTTGGAAAGAGACTTTGATGCATGGTTGTAATTGAACAACCAGGCATTGTAGATTTGGTGCGTTTGTAATTCTGTGTTTTAAAAAATATACAAGTTGAGATTAGTATACATCACACTGGTATTATTGTAGCTTGTTTCCAGAATGGAATAAAATAAAGTCGATTGCAACATTTTACAACACAACTGAGATTTATTTTTGGTTCCAATTCAAAATTCATATTCCATATTTTAAAATTTTTCCTTTTAGCATTGTGAGTTTACCCAGGTTATCTTGGAATTTCTAACTAAAACTGTAAGAATTGCCTTTTAATTCAGAGTCAGACAAGAAAAAAAGTCAGATTTGTAGGATATAAACTCACTATTATAAGATAAAAAGTCACAAAAACGTCTATCTATTAAGTGGCAGGGCTTTTTTTAACATTTATGCTATTGATATTGCTTCTGCTGCAGGTAATTCTTACATACATCTATACACTGACAATACAATCATTTATACATCTAGTTCTTCTCAGACTACAGCACTTTCTTCACAGCAAGCCAGTTTTTGAAACATCCAACACACTTTTACTAATCTTCACTTTAGTTTTAAAATGTATAGTATATAATAGAAATTTACCATATGTTGAGTTTCCTCCTAAAATCCCCTCATTGGACGGTACTGAGACTGCTACAAATATCTTGGAATCTGGTTGAATTATAAACTGAAACTCATATAAATGAATTGCTTAAAAAGGTTAAAGCCTGTATTGGTTTTCTTTACAGAAACAAATCTTTTTTAAACACTCTTAAAAGCAGCATTTGGTCAAATGAACAGTATAACCAATTTTATATTAGGGGGGTTTAATTTACAGATCAGCTTCAAATACTCACCTTCACAAACTGGATGTTATTTACCATGCAGCAATTTGTTTTGTTACTGATGTGCCATTTAATAGTCATCCCTTATCACTGTCAACTGTTTCCTTTATTGAATTGGCCTTCTCTTCAGTCCCGTGGACAAATTCATTGGTTTCTGTTCATTTACAAAACTCTTATTGGGAAAACTTCTTCATATTTACAGTCACTTCTTATAGAAAACCTGCACTCTAGTCGTTTGTATTAACCTTTGTATACCCAAAGTTTGCACTTTATTTGGACGGTACTCTTTTCAGACTTTAAAGCTCAACACTTTCATTCCACTATCATCTCTTAAAAGTTCAATCCAGTTCATAGTACAAGATCACTGTTCTTGTTTTTAGTTTTGCCTTGGTTTTATATGTTATTATCTGCATCTTTAAAATTGGTATTGTATTGTGTTGTGTTCCTGCCGCTACTAATTTCTTTGTTATGTTGCCTCTTGGCCAGGTTATACCTGTAAATGAAAACTAGTTCTCAATTAACTTACCTGGGTAAATAAAGGTTATTGCTTATTTGAAAAAATATATGGTATTTGTTTTTTTTGTTTTTTGTTTTTGTTTTTGCTTCTTTTGACCTGAATAACATCCATAGTTAAATTAAAGTTGTTACATTGCAAAAAAGAACACTTTACTGAAGCACACTATGAAAGTCATTTGGTTTATGGCATGGTTAACAGAAGGAAGAAAGTATGTTAGGGGAAGAAAGGATTGAAGGAGAAAGAGCACTTTCTTACATAACAGAGTTTCATTACAATTTAATGGCTTTTGCCAAGGTGCAGTACTACTTGCAGAAGATGCCAGTGCTATATATGGCTCCATTCAAAATTGATTTAATCCAGCCTCGTTGTTCCCCGTATAGACAGACACATCTATCCCCCATTTGGTCTCTGCAAGAACCTAAGTGAGTTATCCCAGTGAGTACTTATGCCAGTTATTGAGTTAGCAAAGGAATCAAAGAGACCATCTGAAGCTGCATTGTTTCACTTAGCATGAAAGTGGTTATATAACAAAGAACTTTATGCCTGCAGAAACAATCCAGCTTCCACTTTTCTAAGCCTTGATTCTTTATCTGTACACCTCCAACCCAAAAGCTGATAAGAAACATCTAATAAAGGACCTTTAGCCTAACATGAAGAATGATTTTTGGGAATAAGAAGATCAGAAAATTACAAAACAAAATAAACAAATAAAATAAACTCTTAAAATATTAAGGAATTAATTATAAAAAGCACATTCATTAGAAGGTGAAGTGATACATGTCAATACTGTACATGCAAATTACAGATATGACATAGAAGTACTTATTTGGATTTTACGTACAGTTGAAGTCAGAATTATTAGCCCAGCTTTTAATTTTTTTTCTTTTGTTAATATTTCCTAAATTATGTTTAACAGAGCAAGGCAATTTTCACAGTATGTCTGATAATATTTTTTTTCTTCTGGATAAGGTCCTATTTGTTTTATTTTGGCTAGAATAAAACCAGTTTTCAATAAAAATAAAAATAAACATTTTAAGGTCAAAATTATTAGCCCCGTTAAGCTTTATTTTTTTTTCAATAGTCTACAGAACAAACCATCGTTTTACAATAACTTGCCTAATTAGCTGTGTTATTAGAGATGAGTTGTTATTATTAAAACTATTATGTTTAGAATGGTGTTGAAAAAAACTTCTCTCCTTTAAACAGAAATTGGAGGGAAAAAATAAACAGGGGTCTAATAATTCTGACTTCAAGTGTATATAGATTTTTTATCTTTTTATTTTTTAACCATTGGAATTACAAATATGCACATATGTTCAAATATATTAGCTATAATTTTATATATTTGAAGTGAATCAAAAAGGTTTTTCAATTATCGTCACCTTGGAATTATAAGGTTCTATCTGCGTTCTGAATGATTCTAAGATATTGAGCAACAGTTTTTGCATTAGATAGTAAACAGTATGTGTGTAATATTTGTTTTTTTTTTAATAAAAAGTTTTAAAATTTAAACAACTTATAAAAAAAACATCCCATATGTTTTATGCAGCAGATGCCCTTCTAGCTGCAACCCATCTCTGGGAAACACCCATACACTCCAATTTGCACACATACACTACTGACAATTTAGCTTACCCAATTCACCTATAGCGCATGTCTTTAGACTTGTGGGGGAAACCGGAGCAGTAAATATCTCATATATGTAATTTGCATAAATTTCAATGTATCATTTTTCTGAATGGATAGTCTAAATCAATGAAAATCAACAAAGGAACAAATTTAGCTTTTTATTTCATTTAGCTAAAATTTAATTTAAAAAAAATGTTGGAAGCCCAAAATAAGTACAAGTACTGTTCACAGGAATAAAGTTTCCCAAAGCCCCAAACTAACCTGCTCCCTCGAGTATCATACTGCCTCATATTCTTGATGAAGTGCACCTTCTTGGAAACCTTTGGCCCTGGAGATCCAGAGAGGTTACGTGTCCTGCAACAAGAATGTAATAAAATATAAATGCATGCGGCTCGAATTTATTTAAGCTTAGAGATAAACAGCGATGGATTAAATCAAGGCAAAAAGTCTTAATCTCTCAGCCTTTGACTTTAAATGAAGGCCTAAAGGTCGACCAGTCCATCAGAAGATCTTACATAAAGAGATGAGAGGGTGAGGGGAGCAGGAGGGATGAAAGGCAAGCAACAAAAGACAAAGAGAGACAGGAAATGATGCATGCAATGCAGTGAGATCATGGGGCCCGATCATGAGCATCATCATGCAGATAAAGCTTGTCTTGACTGGTTGACAGCCTTAAGGATATATTTTTTACTGACTTAGCACTTAGTTATGTATGACAGGAGTGATATCATCATGTTAATCTGTCTAAGGGAGCCTCTCTTATCCCTGTTGTTGCTGTCAAAGTCACAGATGGCTTTTAAACTAGGTTGGAAAACTCATTGATTGCACAGACATGTACATTTTAAGTATTCTCTTAACGATTAAGCAATAGTTTTACTCAATATGCACTTTATTGCTTAATTAATCATTCTTTTCAGGTGATTCTTTGAAGTGGTATGAGAGAATGACTTTTACGAAGAGATTTTTAGTAACAAAAAACAAACAAAAAACCCTACAGCAGGTTGACTACCAAATGAAAGACTGCAGAGTCAGAGTCTATTGCGAAAATATAAATAATCCAATTAATACACATCATAACATCATTTTCAAGTTTTATTCTTTTCAAAGAAGGTCAAACAGTCATACAGCAACACAGGTTTCTGCAGAGTGAGACACTGAAGGAAGAGTGTGTTCTCCTCTTTATCTAGTTTTTTCCCTCTACTGCTAACAAAGTAATGTAATGTAATGTAATGTAATGCATATTTATATTGCAAATTTTTTGTGTATGGCCATACACTCAAAGCGCTTCACAATCATGAGGGGGGTCTCTCCACACCACCACCAGTGTGCAGCATCCACTTGGATGATGCGACGGCAGCCACAGGACAACGACGCCAGTGCGCTCACCGCACACCAGCTATTGGTGGAGTGGAGAGACAGTGATAGAGCCAATTCGGTGGAAGGGGATGATTGGGAGGCCATGATTGTATGGGCAGATAGAGGGACTTTGGCCAGGACACCGGGGTTACACCCCTGCTCTTTCACGAGAAGTGCCATGGGATTTTTAATGACCACAGGGAGTCAGGACCTCGGTTTAACGTCTCATCCAAAAGACGGCGCCCACTGACAGTGTAGTGTCCCCTTCACTTTTACTGGGGCATTAGGACTCACGTAGACCACAGGTTGAGCGCCCCCTGTTGGCCTCACTAACACCACTTCCAACAGCAACCTAGTGTTCCCTAGTGGTCTCCCATCCAGGTACTAACCAGGCTCAACCCTGCTTAGCTTCAGTGAGTAACTGGTCTTGGGCTGCAGGGTGATATGGCTGTGGCCATATCCAAAGTCCAAAGTCACCAGGGACATACATCCTGGATTATCTTCTTCACATGTTTGATTTTTTTACTCGTCTATATTTCAGTCTGGCCTCCTATCAGACCATATCATACTTATGTTAGGTTTTTAAACCTTTCTGACCTATGCTCAGGGACTAAAGGGACTAGCATTCCACACTCCTTCGGCTGTGTCCCCTCGTATCAGTTACACAATTTCATAGAAAGATAAAATAACAAACATCAAAGTAGTCATGCATGGTTTAACTGAGAAATTAATATATATGAATTTTCACCACATCATCAACACTTGAATAGCCTGATTCCTGAACAAATCTGTATTAGGATGTTCATACTACTTGTTCAAATGTATTCATTTATTTAATCTTGGGAGTCCTGGAGTGTGTGACATGCACATTGTATTTTTTTTACGTAAAAAAAAAAAAAACTTTTATGAAGTTTATTTTATTTAAGAACATTTGAATATGCAAAACTGTTTTGCATCATGCTGGGTTGTGATGATATTTTCTCAGCTGAGAAAGCTTATAAAATGTGTTAACACTGAACCAATGAACTACAATGGGCAGCATTGTTAGTATGAAAAGTAATACTAGAGAGGTCACTCCTTTGTGGTCAAATCTTATGACATCATGTCCTGGTTAGTTTAGATGTGTTTGATTGCTCTTGTGTTCATACTTCAGTTAAACCATGACAGGGTTCATTTGAAACTGGACTGAGACCCAAATCTAAGTTAGTGTCATGGTGTATTAGACGTTGTGTAGAAATTAACCAATTTAATACTGCTTTATGCTATAGAAAGTAATATTTTATTAGTTAATTTACAAAAATGCAGTTACAGAAACACTTTTAATACATGCTAAATACTTTATATTGATATAATGAATGATATAGATTGTTTTAGAAAATGTATTTTTAAAAGGATACATAATTTGATTATCTCTAAAAGATCATCATCATATTTTTTATTTAATGCCGTGTGAGCAACAGAAACTATTTTTAAGGCATTTTTTTATTTTGTTATGAATAAATATTCAATTATCACTGTTACGTCAGACATGCATGACTTCAGACATTAATTAACGTATTTGACCCTAATTATTGCATTAAGCTGCCTTGGAATGTTCAGGTCTTGGAGTGGGACTTGGGTTAAAACAAAAAAGAAAGAAGAATACTGTAATATATAATAATAATAATAATAATAATAATAAAACGTAGTTTTCCTTCAAGAAATAAATATTCAATTACAAAACCACAAACATGAATACAAAATTAGATAAGATTTTAAAGGTTAATAGATGATAGAACTTTAAAAAACATTAAGTGACAAGTTGCTGAATATCTTCTTGCCCTCTTACATATAAATAAAAAATGTCTTATTTAGTATTTGCTAGCGATTTCTTTATAATAAATAAAGGATTAAGGTTAAGGATTCAGATTCTGAAATGAGTATCATTTCCATACCGACATGCTTATCAAATATCGCAGAAATATTTCCTGTCAAACTCTTAGACAACTTAGAAAACAACTCAAAGATGAAAATGAAAGTTTGACAATAAGGCGGAAGTCAGCATTTCCCCTCATAGATTATTTTGTTTTGTTTTTGACACTGTAATATGCACCGTTTAAATCTCCACTGCCTCAAAGTCATAAACGATTGTAAACATTGGTTAAAAGGCCAGATTCAGTTATGGCTGTTTACTTACATGACACAACATCAAACCAAAGTCCCTTTATAGTCTGATCAAACACGAAATAGGATTTGTGAATAATCTTTTAGCTTGCCAATTACATATCCAATTGATGACAAATACACTTATATAGAGGTTTGTGTATGTCTAGACTGAACATTTGCCCCACAATCTTTATAAAATATGTAATTTACGCTTACAATGCGTTACAAGAAATCAAATACGCCTGTCATTGTTTGCTAACCTGCGTGAAAAAAACAAAACCAACCTTTGACGCGGATCAGGCAGAGGGTTAGAGCTCGGGAACTGGCTGGGGGATTTACTGGATCCCAAAGCCGTATTCCGAGGTCCAGCGGTCGGTGATAGAGGGGGAGCCTGGACTGACAAAGGATCTGATCGTCCATCCTCCGTGAAAACGTCGCTGCTCCCTTGGTTAAGCGCCGGAGGAGGGCTCATAGGAGCAGGGTAAGTGTTAACGTTAGTCCTCGGTATAGGGGTAGCAGCTCCTCCGCTAATGGAGGATGACACTTGGGTGAAGGTTCCGTAGCTGCTGGTTGTCGACAGAGGGAGACCCGCCACCGCCGCGCCGACATCCACACACCGGCTGTCGACTTCCCTGGGGCCAACGAGTCCATTGCTCAGGTTGTAAACCGGGCGTCCATCTAAAGATATATTAGTGAGAAACAACAACGCCGCTTGTCTGCGACGAGAATCCCGGCTTTTTCGCAGCAGTTCTTTGTGTGGTTTGGCTGAATTAGTCCTCGGACAGCCGCGAGGACCGCAAGCGGCGGCCGCCATTCTACTGTGAGTAAGCTAAAAGCAGACAGAGCTATTACACCGGCGGAGAGACTAGCCACGCCTTCTGTCTCCTGATTGGTTCGAATTCCTGACAGTTGCATATAAATGAGTTTTTACTGTAGCGGATTGGACGAGAGGTCTTGGTTCATAAATTTGTACAACAATTTGGCTTCAAATCTGCAGACGAGACGACGCTAGGAATTTTAGACATCTGTTGCTTTCTATGATAAATGTTACATTTCAATTAGAGTTAAACTTATGTCTGCTCATTTATGTACATTATTTATAATGGTATATATACACACATATGAAAAAAACAACAACTCTGGCTTCATTGGGTTTGAATAAAATGTTAACATTTGTTTTATTGTATATAACATATTTTTATTTGTTGTGATTGGAAATATAGGTTTCCCCTTTAAATAGTGTCTTAAAATAAATATAAACCTTTCTCAAAATATTTATTTTTGTTATTTTATGTAAATAATAATAATAACAATAATGTTAATAATAATAATAATAATAATGATAATAATAATAATGTTATTATTATAAATAACTAAATATATTAATGAATGAATGAATGAATGAATGAATAACAACTTACCCCACTGTACTCACCTTATGCAATTTAGATTTGTCAACACAATACATTTGCAATTATTCGTTCATTTTCTATTATGCAATTTGAAAATGTATTTACAATATAATGCTCTACTGTATTTTGTAATGTCAGAATGTCTTTATTGTTATATGATGCTGCAAATGTAAGCCTAGGTTTTTCTAAGCTCATTCCAGGTGTTGAAGCTTATCTGCAAAGTCCACTATGTTATATAAATAGACTGACGTCTGTAACAGCTCATAGGATAATAAAAAAGGATAAAGAAAAAAGCAATTTCCGGATACTTTGGTTTGATAAAATGTTGGCAGCAAGAGCCATAATCAGAACTTGATTATATGTATTTCTCAGAATAACCACTACTGCTTTATTTTCTTTATTTTACAAAACCAAACTCATTAACATATGCATTTGTTTGCTATTATTTAGGCAATTGTTTGAGAATAAAATATGTCTGAGAGTGCTACTTCTGAGCTGAAATACACTTGCAGTTCCACATTATGTGATGTAATCGGGCTTCAGCTAATATTTTATAATCTACTGATCCTCTGTTAGCAGGGAATTAACCTAATCTGCCTGCTCAAAATACACTCAAAAGTTTCGAAATGTTAAGATTTGTCAATGTTTTGTAAGTCTCTTCCATGAACCAATGTTGCAATTAATTAAAAAAGTAATTGTTGTGTAATATTTTTTCAATTCACTGTTTTCATGTGAATTTTCAGCATCATTATCGCAGTGTCACAATCTTTCAGAAATCATATGCTGATTTGTTGCTCATTATTAATTACTTATAATTAATATAATGGCTGATTATTAATAATGATTCTTATTATTATCATTGTTGAACTAATCTTTCTGCTTCTTTTTGTGCAGAAACCACAATGCATTTTTACTTTTCAAGGTTTTTGTCATGAAAAGAAAGCTCAAAGCTGCAGCTTTTGTTTCAAATAAAATCTCTTATAAATGTTTTTACTGCACTTTTAATATTTACTTGATGAGTTTTTTTACTTTGGTTGTATAAACTATATGGTAATAACAGTGGGCGACACGGTGGTTCAGTGGTTAGCACTGTTGCCTCAAGAAAGCATGCAAGAAGCAAGAAGGCACAATTCTGTGTGGAGTTTGCATTTTCTCCCCGTGTTCGCGTGGGTTTTCTCTGGGTACTCCTGTTTCCCCTACAAGTCCAAAGACATGTGGAATAGGTGACTTGAATAAAGTAAATTGGCCATAGTGTATGTGTGAATGAGTGTGTATGGGTGTTTTCCAGTACTGGGTTGCAGCTGGAAGGGCATCTGCTGCATAAAACATATGCTGGATAAGTTGGTGGCTTATTCCGCTGTGGTTATCCCTGATAAATAAAGGAACAAAGCTGAAGGAAAATAACTGAATGAATGAATTATTACATCTACAAAAAATTGTCTCCGACCCTTAATCATGGTGCAATCCAGCAGTCAAATTAGGTAAAGATTTAGCTCATTAGATTTGAATGGTTTATTTGTTATTTTTTATTCACTTTAAGGAAACAAATCATTCAAATTGTAGAGATTGCATTAAGATAAAACGTAGATATGGAGAGAGAAAAAAACACCAATATAAATAAATAAGTTTTATAAACTAATTTCAAGAGTAGCATGTGATATGATTGATCGCAGCAGGTCTTGCATCATTAATCATTGCTAGTCCAATCAGATATCATTGCTAGACAATCAAATGAATTCTAGCCTCCAATAAATAAGCCCATTCCTCTTATCTTTATTTTTGAAGAAACCCCCATTTCCCCTTCCCACCTTTACAATTAAGGGGGAGCTCTTGAGACCTAATAAGTACAAAGGGTGCATTTTAGGACTGTCGGCCCATATGGCTGAAATTGCTTGGAGGTGTCCCTAAATCAGTAAATCTGCCTCTGCTAATAATAATGCTAACGATCCAAAATAAATATAGTAAATTTAAACCAGAATTACAGTGATTCTAAAGGAGGATGTGACACTGAAAGCTGAAGTAATGATGCTGAAAATTCAGCATTAAGCTGCGGTCACACTAGAGTTTGCGTATGCGAAATTCTTTCGTGCGGTGCTGCGAAAAGGGGCGATGTTTTAAATTTCTGTCCAGAGAGGTCACGTTTTGATCCTTGGTTGGTCTCACACAGTCAAGTGATGTGATTTCACAGGTCACAGTTCACCAAGCTTGAACTTTGCACCGCAGCGATCTGCGAAACTTGACGTATGACCCTGCGTTTCCGGTCTGACGCATTTGCGTGCGTATGAATAGAAGTCTATGGGGAGAAAAGCCCAGTTTGACCGCAGCTTTAACATCACAAGTCAGGTCCATAGCCAGTCTGGTAAAGGGGTGGTTCTTTTTTGTCAAAAAGTGGACATTTTTGCAATTATTCACCTTATTTTCAATATAATTATGATGTATTTTAATTATGTAAGTTAAAATTTAACAAAACAATTCAGGAGGTCAGTAGTGAAAGATGACCACGTCGTATTGTATGTTTACTTCCACAGCTAGATGTTGGAAGTCACACCAAAGCAAAAACAAACAAAGGATTCCGCTTGATCTTAAAGCCTTTTTGGTTATTTTCACAATTTATTATGGCATAGCAGTCAAAATGAGACAAATAACCTCATGTATGGGAAAAATTCTGGATCTTTGTCAGTGAGGGGTGGATCTTTCAACCACCCGAATACCCAATGGCTATAGGCCTGCAGGAATAAATTAAACATTTGTAAAAATGTATTCAGATTAAACCATAATAGAAATACTATTGCATTTTTTTTATTAAATAAATGAAGCTTTAGAGAGCAAAAGAGACTTTTATAAAATCCTTAAAACATCAAGCTATTTTCTTGTTGTCTATTCTCTGGATTTATTTCATTTATTTCAATTCAACATCTAATCCATCTTCCAGATTGCAAAATGACAGCTTGGCCTCAGTTTTAATAGGATTTCTAGATGACTCCATTGCTGTAAGAATGTATTGCAGCAGTGCATAAATTAACATACAGTGTGTATGTTCATAATAAGCTTAGTCTGCTAGTTTAGCTGCTGTGGTTAAAACATCTTCCAACTGATATAACAAAGCAACACAATCTGCAGTATGCACTATGAATGTTTTTTTTGTCTTCCTCATTGCTATACAGCTGATTTCCACATGAGTGCAGTATACATCAAACAAAACTGTACTTGGCCAAATAAAAACACTTCTTCGAATTTTGCTAGTAAATGGCTAGGATTTATAAGACACGCAAAACGAAAGACACCCATTTAGTTGATGCTTTGGTCAGGTCAGTAAACACACGATTTTGCTTTCTTTATTGTCCCAATAAAACACATGGCTGAAGATCGACATCCTTTTTTTTGTACAGTCGACGGCAACAGTCTTGCAGGTGCAGTGTAAGGCTTAACGTCTTTTAGCGTGTCTACTGTAAAATAATCCAGCATTAACCAGAGTGATCCCCATTGATTAAGTACAGCATACAGAGGCTGTGCTGAGGTGGTCCAGCTAGCACCAACATCATCATAACACGAATGGTCGTACATAATGGTTATGTGAAATAATTACAATGGGTTAATGGACTTAGCAATAACATGATTTCAGTAAACACGGCACAATCTTCTCTCTATTCAATCACCTAATGGGCAGTCAAAACACAAAATATGCTCATTTGTAGCCTACACAACAAGATCGCTGCTCTGTTTGTGAGAGAGAAACACAAGTTATTGTTTTGATCAGTTAAATACACACTCTTCTCAGTTGGAAATCACATATTAACCTACATTTGGTGAAGTATTGATGACCAAATGTATGTTGATAAATAAATGTCATCGAGGCAGACGATACTGTGTGGATTGTACTTATTGCACCAAATGATGTGAATGGCATGGCATAATCATAATGCTGATACATTTTCATGAAACCTAAAACTATTTTGAAACATGTAAACATATGCTTTGTGATTTTTTTCCTTTTTACCTGTCACACAAGTACACTACCTGACAAAAGTCTTGTCGTCGATTCCAGTAGAGCAACAAATAGTAACTTGACTTTTAGTTGTTCACATGGAAAGTGTCAGAATCATCTGTTTACTGCATCCCAATGATCACAAATATTGCTGAAGATCTATCGGAACCCACACGGATCCAAGATTCTCACCAAAATCATTCAATTTTGGTGAGGGGAAAATCATAGTTTGGGGTTAAATTCAGTATGGGGGGGTGCGAGAGATCTGCAGAGTAAATGGCAAGATAAGCAGCCTGAGGAATCAAAACTTTTGTGCAGCTCATAACATTACAAACCACAGGAGAGGGCAAAATCTTCAGCAGGATAGCACTCCTTCTCATACTTCAGCCTCCACATCAAAGTTTCTGGAAGCAAAGAAGGTCAAGGTGCTCCAGGATTGGCCAGCCCAGTAACCAAATATGAACATTATTGAGCATGTCTGGGGTAAGACTAAGCAGGAGGCATTGAAGATGAATCCAAAGAATCTTGAACTCTGGAAGTCCTGCAAGAATGCTATCTTTGCCGTTCCAGATGACTTTATTAACACGTTATTTGAGCCATTGCAGAGGTGTATAGATGCAGTCCTCCAAGCTGATGGGAGTCATACACAATATTAACTAATTTTCCACTGCGCTATGACTTCATATTCCATACTGTACATTATTTCGGTTAAGTGACAAGACTTTTGTCTAAGTAAAGTCAGATCTTACTGTTCTAATTAAATAATTAAAAATCAAGGCATGATCATATTTTATTTTGGTAAAATAAGCGTAATCTAGAGGTCTTTGCCTTTTATATAAGCCACTTCTGATAACAAATGATCAAGAAGTCAAGTTATTATTTGTTGCTCCTAAAACTTGAATAGGAAACAAGACTTTAGTCAGGTAGTGTACTTTAAATCATTGTTAGCTTAGACGTGTCTGAAATACTGCATTATTACCATACTTCAATATAACAAGCATATAATAAACCGGCGATGTCCTTGAGATGAACATTTATTCAGTCCTCTTTAAAGGTGCACTCAGCCATTTTTCAGCATCAGACCCAGTAATTCCATTGTTACATGTCCTCTGAGAACATAAAAAACACATTTTTCAGCAGTTTTAACTTGAAAGGTGAGCGGATGTGTTCACTCAAAAGAGACCTTGGGAATTGTTAAGAGTTTTTTTTTTTAGGGATTACAAGTGTTTCTTGCAAAGTCTTATCCCTATTCTTGAAGGCAACATATTGTGTGCTTAATAAAATGCATTAATGTTATCGGGAGCTCATCCCTTGACTTATTTTTTAGTTTGAACCACAGACACAAACGTTTCTTATGTCCAACCAAATGTTTTAAACATTGGCTGCTGAAGAAGGGTGAAATGCACCTTTCAGATGCTAAACAGCCAAACGTAAGAAAGTCGATTAAGGCCTTAAATGACACAATTCGTGCTCTTTTTCCTTGCAGCTATCACAACCTCAATGGGTACACATTAAGACCAACGGGATTCAGTAATTGTGGTTTACGGCAGCTGCCACAAAAGATTAAAAACACCCAGAATGGTTTCAAATGGCGTTTTGGATGTGTTTAAGCACCATTGCTGTTTATGTACTACACTGATACTGCATGTTGTCTTGCTCATTTTAGCTTTACCATGGCCTCACTTTTTCATATACTTGCTCAAAATGAACCCATGCCCAACCTCCAAACACAGGGGTGTTCGATTCTGCTCCAGGAAAGCCAAACTCCTGCAGATTTGAGCTCAAGCCAGTAACAAAACTCTTGCCTGGGCAGCTGACTTGTTGCTTTGCTGCCTTATCAGGTAATGACTTTGTTGACAGCATTTAAGCACAAGAGAACCTCTCAAAATTGGCTAAGGTCAGACTTCTGATGCAACTTAATTGTTTAATAATCTACAACAAAATAGAACTATGGTAATGACTAAGCAAACATTTAAATAAAACAATACTAGCTTTTTTGCCAGAAAGAACACCAAAAGTGGATTGCTTTCATTTTGTAAATACTTATGTATATGAACATCCACCAATTTTCCATACCCCCCAAAATGTGATGACGTTACCTCAAGATCTATGATTGGTTGGTTTGATAGGATTACATTTCCTACAACGCATGTCATTTTAGGGGATGTTTTGTGAGAAAGCACACCATTGCGCACTGAATTGTACCAAAGCATATGCATTAGCCTGAAATCATAGTTGCCATCAATGCATTGGTCGAAATTATGTGACCAATGCACACATTCTTGCTTTGGGTCACCTGCCACAATTCAGATTCAGAGAGGGATGGATGGTATACGGCCGTCTCTGTTGCCACTTCAAGTTTCAGGGCTCCTTGGTGTTCCCACTCCTAAAACATTCCCACTTGCTAGAATAGTATTAGTGTGACACACTGAGCTCTGCCTCTAAACTGATGTAAAGCTTAATAAAATAGGACAGAAACTGACCACTTGTGATCTGATCACTGAAACACACAAAGCCTGAAAACCTTGATTTGCTTTTATTCTGCTAAGAGCTACACTCTGCAGGACAGTGGCTTCCTGGGAGCAGGTTTGAACACCCCTTCCTAACTCAATAACCAGTAATATCTAATGTTACCACAGGGTGGCTCTTTTCTATACACCAGGGCATCCTGTTCCTCCACAGCTGACAAGTCAATAGGGAGTCATGTGGAGATCCAACAAACTCTTCCACTCCGCCAAATAAACCTGGACTCCTAGACTTTTTTTTTGCCACAAATGCATTACATTTTTATTTGGAGAATGTTTCAGACTGTCGTCTCATATTCCATCACTTCCTTCGGTGTGCCTAGACAGCGGTACTGGATCCTTGGTGTGACAGGAGCCGCACCTTCTAGTACCAAAATGGTCTTTCTCAGTCTACGATCAATGAAGTGGGCATCCCAGGCTGGGTACTGTTTCCTGGGAAGGTCGATACGAATTACCGGCCCCTCTGTCCTTGGGGTGACGCGAGGTGCCGCGTTTCGAGAGGCCTTAAGGGTCCGCATCTTAAAGACTTCCCCGATGTCTCCCATTGGTACTGAATCTATTCCTTTAGTCCTCTGAAGAGTCCGAGGAGGGCTGCTCACCACATCCAGAGGAGGAGCGGATGTAGGTGACGAGACACAAGGATCTGAAACAGCACCCACCTGCACGCCACAACATCCAAGATAGGCCCCGGGTACAGGGCCATCAGGATGTAAAAGGCAGTAGTAGACAAACATAAAAAATGTGCCCAAAGCGTAGCTACAGGCCACAACACACACCACAACCACGGCGTAAAAGTCAGATGTACGCGGGCTGCGGTATATGTACCACACAGCTGTTAGAGCCACGTTTTCAGCCAAGATTATAAGGCTGTACAGCAGAAGACGGCCCCGCGTGGGACCCTCACGAACGCTGAACCAGCAGAATATATACACAATGCCCACCATCATGTTGTAGATGATCTCCTCCCATTTGGACATACAGAAGTCCGTCTCGCCTTGGATGATCCAGAAGGTCATGGCGCACCAGTGGGCCACGATGAAAATGCCAAAGTAGAGCTGGAAGAGGGAAACGAAGAGGGCAAAAGCCATGGCGCGGGCTCCCACGGTGAACAGATGCCACAGCATGTGCACCACCACTGCTTTATACGACATGGGAAGCTTGTCGTCACGAGAGTCTCGCAATGCCTTCTGATAAGACGCCATCATCCAGCCCAGAGACACTAGAGAGGCCGACGCGGACAGACCTGGATCAAATGAAGTATAAGAGTGACAGAGAGAAAAGAGAACAAATGAGTTAATACAGGAGGTACAGTAATTACATTTATTTGCACTGGAGAAAGATTCTCACTTGATTTAACCAAAACTAAGGGAGAGTATCACTTTAATAATGTCTTATAATGATATAATGTTGCATATAATAAATTATCTTTCAATTAAAATTAGATAAGTAAATAAATAACAACTGTACACTCAAAAATGGTATTTGCTTTTTGTTTAAACTACTAAATCAACACAATTCTTGAGTTTTTTGGAGGGCACAACTCTCAATTTTTTTTATGTTTAATCCACTTAAATTTGTAAAAACTGACAACTCAATTTCTTCATGTTGTCCCAACACAAACCCAGCATTTTTAGTGTTCTGTAGAAAGCAATTAGTTGACTTTATTTTAAAAAAGTGAGTAAGCCTGTTGCCTTAACATGATTAAGTGAATGAACTGTGCACAATTATAAAAATTAAGTCAACTTAACCATTGCAAGTTACAATAGGTTTACTCACCTTTTTAAAGTAGTCAACTATTTTAAGAAAATGAGTTCACTCACTTTACATGAATTAACTAATTGCTTTTTACAGTGTAAAACCAAAATAAAAATTTATAAAAATGGTTTTTTAGACATTAAAAACAAATAAAAATGACAAAAAACAAACACACACACATTGGGCTCTATCATTCACCTGGCACAATAAAGCTCAAGACTTGTTTGGCTTGATTTATTGCTATTTTCAGACCAGTGCAACCCTAATTTTTACGTTTTATGTTGTTTAAATAACTAATCTATTTGCATTATTTTGTGGACTCATTGGTGTGCTGGTCTAGAAATTAGGTGTGTTAAGGCGCATTGTTGGCGCATTTCTATTTTGAGAATCTGAAATTGTCTGCACCACTGATCAACTAGCTGGTCTGAAGTTCAGCGCAGAACGTGCTAGTTATGCGCCTATGCAGGTCCAAAACGCGTATGCATTGCTTAATACACACAGGATGTACAGCAATACACAAATATCCTTACACATGAAAAACCTAAAGGATTAAAATGTTACAAAAATTATTATTTTCTACATAAATATAAAAACCACTGCCTCAATGCCTCATCTCAGGGAGCTTTTTCAGTTTATTCATGACAATTTGCAATTGTATAATGTTATTATTAGCAGTATTATTTATTATATGCATATTCATATTTGTTTTAATAAAAACTGATTCAGATATGTTCACCTGTTGGGTTTTGGAGACACATGGGTCACCATATAGGGCATAAGAATAGGACGTGTGTTTGGATATAACTAAATAAATAAACTTTTTTGACCACACTTCATTATTATTGCTCATTTATTTGTTTTCAGGAAATTAAAACAGAATTTAGAAATAGTTTTGAAACAAATCTTTGCACGTAACAAATGAAATTAGATATGTAGGCTTATGGATGTCTTCAGTCACAGTGGAGTGCGTACAACACTGTTACCTTATTCACAAAAGTAAAGGAGTAAAGTAAAGAGTCAAAGTAAAGTAAAGAGAAAGTAAAGAGGCCGATTGGAAGAGGCTCATTCTCTATCCTTGCACTGCAGATGTTCTGTTTAACTGTTTTCTCCGATTGGTTTAATGCACGTTATTCTCAAAACCCACTCATAACTCATTAAGAGAATAAGCACAGCCCTTTTAGCCCATGCGCCGTGGCACAAAGCATATTTTTCCATCCTTAAAATAGCAAAAATGGATTTCTGACACGCCCTTAATGCTTTTGCACCATGCGCTTTAGGACTTTGCAGCAAGATTGTTAAAATAGAGCTCATAATTACTAAAATCAAAATGACAATGGAAAGCATACAATTAGAAACTTATTAATAAAAACCACAGAGGCATCTTGGTCATTTTATAGCTTTATATATTTATGTCAAAATTGCCGAATTTATCTTAGCATTTTTAGAATAAAAGCCAATTTATAGGACATAATAGAGTTGATTCCACAGATATAAAATGCTTAAAATTAATAAAATTATTTCAAATCAAAACCTATACCAGTGTATAACATCTTCAACATGTAGCTACAGTACATAAAGAAATGACTGTAAAGCTCACCAAGGAAAAAATCAGTTTGACTGCTGTATATGCTCTCTAGCTGCTCTCATGAATATTTAATCAGGTTCCTGTCTGGCCATTCATCAGCTTACCCATTTAGTCAGGAACGGTCAAAATGCAAAATCTCTCCCAATCAGCAAAAACACGACTATTACCTAGTTCACCAGTCATCTCACATCGCCCTGAATATGATTATGAGCGTTCATGACAGCCACAGCGAAGCACTTTAATCATAATATCAGTCTTCAGCCTGGAGAAGTGCCGGACAGGACAGACCCAGAGAAAGCACTCCTGTGTTGAAGCCTGTTTTCTCTACCCTGCTGACTGTAAGGCAGAAGAGGCCCCTGCTCATCTCCTGACAGCTAGACATGCTTTGTTGTGGAATCAGGATCATTTTTATCCTTATGGAAGATAAAGATACCTTTAGAAGTGTGAATACATTTAATAAAGCTGAGACTGTTAAAACCGTAGCTCTTAAAATGATAATTCACTCAAAGAAGAAATTTTGGTCATCCTTCATTCATTCATTCATTCATTCATTCATTCATTCATTCATTCATTCATTCATTCATTCATTCATTCATTCATTCATTCATTCTTTTGTAGATAAAACAAAAAGAAGAAATTTTGAAGAATGATGTAAACAGGAAACCAATTAAAAAAACTAAATATAAAATAGTTTCTAGATAATTTATTACCAGGCTGCAACTACTGAACAGAAGTAAAAACATGCTATTTATGTGTGCCTCTTTAAATGTAAATGAGTTACTGCTCCTTGACCCTTTCCAGAAAAAAGTGGAGACTTTAGCCTGCATCACAAATGAAATCGAATAAATTTGTATGAATTAGCCCTTTTTTTCACATACATGTAAAATAGTTTTTTCATGAGATTACAGTAGGCAGGTACTGTATATTATTATATATGGTAGGGGAGGGGTAAAGTACTGCTTTAAATTGTAAATGTAGAAACGCAATAAATAAATTTAAAAAATGTAATATCTGTATGTTCTGACTTGACTAGTGATATATTTTTGAGCACATATATCTAAACAAAAGGAGAGCCATACTGCAAATATTTAACTTGCTTTATGCTCTTTATTGGGCTTTTAAACTGTCAAATACACACAAGGTTATTTTACTAATATGCAAAGTTCAGTTAAGCACTGTCTGTAAACACAAACAGCTGTAAATTAAATATTAGGTTTGTGAAAATGTTAGATGTGGATATTATGGCCCGTTTCCACTGGGTGGTACCGTATGGTTTGGTTCGGTGCACTTTTATGGCCGTTTCCACTGTCAAGGGGTACCTAAAAGAAAACCGTACAGTACCACTTTTTGGTCACCCAACAGGCCCAAAGGGTACCATAAGGCGGAGCTAGATGCGTAGCTGAACGCTTTTGGTTTATAGAGATACGTCACTCACAGAAGCAGGGGGACTATTATGAACTCAGATTGACGGAATTACTTTCTAACAGAGGCTACATTTGCTGCTGAAGATTAAAGACACATATGAGAGGTTCGCACTGACTGTGGGCTATATTTCATGTTGTTTTTAAACTCAAATAAGGACTAAATATATGCTGTGTGTAGTTTTTCTGTAATTAGTAACATACCTGAGACAATGAGGGTCTGTATGTGTTCATGTATGTTGAAATAATTTATTTATTTTATATAATTGCAGACGTTACAGTAGGTTATTTCACATTCATCATTGATCAGCAGTTATAATCAAATCATGTTCATAGAAAGGTTAATAATGAACATTTATACATAAGTATTTATGTGTATAAAGCATCTGTTTTGTGAGAAGAGCTTCTCATATGATATATGAACGATCAGTACGACTTTATTGTAGACATTTTCTCAAGTAAAAATTAAGTCGTCTGAAACTTTCTGTCATACACCACACCAACCAAAATAATACCCTTTTGGCAGTGGAATTGCAAGCTTGATAAAGGTGACCCGTACCGACCTGTACCGTACCGTACTGTACCTCTTTGAAATGATAATATACAAATGCTCTTAAGAGTCAAACTACAGAAGAAACACTGATTGGATTTTAAGTGAGATGTTCGTTCATTCATTCATTCATTCATTCACTTTTTTTTGGCTTAGTCCCTTTATTAATCCGGGGTCACCACAGTGGAATGAACCACCAACTTATCCTGCATATGTTTTATGCAGCGGATTCCCTTCCAGATACAAGCCATCACAGGGAATTCATACACATACACTACGGACAATTTTAGCTTACCCAATTCACCTGTATCGCATGGCTTTGGACAGTGGGGGAAACAGGAGGACCCAGAGAAAACTCAAGCAAACACAGGGAGAACATACAAAGTCCACAGAAATGCCAACTGACCCAGCCAAGACTCAAACCAGCTACCTTCTTGCTGTGAGGTGACAACACTATCTACTGCGCAACCGCATCGCCCTTGGGATGTTCATATTCATGTTTATTTGGTGCTGTAACTAATAGTAAAGATAAATTGTCCTTAAGGAGTTTTTTAACTAAAGTACTGATAGAGTATCAAAATAATTCTTAAACAAAGCATTTATTATGTAAACTTCCAAAAAAAATGCACAGCATTGTTCATCTTTTGTGATTAATGGATGGCATTTATGATATAATATCTGGTAAAGTTATATTCATGCTTCAACTCAAATATTATTGAGAAAAATATTAATTTTAAGTTCTGGATGCATAGTTATACAAATGTGTACTGATCCAAAAACCTAGAAAAAACGCAACATTATGTACTGCTAGTCAGAAGAAAAAAAGAAGCACGTCACATGAAATGACAGCTTTTAAAGCAGAATCCCATGCTGCTGTTAACTAGCTCTGGGTGTTATTTAAAAGTCACAGTTTGCGGGTTGACATTTGGATA